CCCGCCACAACGCCCGGCTAATGTTGCAGTTTGGCTGGGGCTGAGTTTGAACTCACCACCCTCAGTATATGGGGCCGGTGCCCTACTCACTGAGCTACAGGCGCTGCCCAATTTCTTTACTTTTTTTAAAAGACAGTTTTATTGAGATAAAATTCACATACATTTTAAAGTATACAATTTGATGGGTTTTAGTACATTTACAGAGTTGCGCAACCATGATCAATTTTAGAACATTTTCATCACCCCAGAATAAAACGCTCTGCCCATTATCAGTCATTCCCCATACCCCCCCTCCCAGCGCCTGGCCACCACTGATCTGCTTTCTGTCTCTATAGATTTGCCCACTCTGGACATTTCTTATACATGGAATCAGCCACTGTGTGGTCTTTTGTGGCTGGTACCTCTTTCCTTTCTAGCTGCATTGATTTTATTCAGCAACCAGTTGCAGTTTGTCTTACCATTTGACTTTTCCTGTACATTGCTCCTTTAAGTATTGCATCCTTAGGGGAAGGGGCTTATGCGTCCTTATGCATTTCTCTTGATGCCCAAGCTCACAAATAGCCAGACCACTGGTTGGAATGCAGAAATGAATGGGGACTGGTAATTGGCAAGCCATGCAGGTGGTTTACAACTGAATTCCAGGGGCCCAGCTGCCACCATGGAGGCTGTGGGTATCCAAGCAGTGAAGGAGCAGGAAGGAATCCTCTTACTTGGGTTGGGTAGGGGTGAGGCAAGGGTAAAAACCAGCTGTGAGGAAGTAATGAATTGGCCTGTGAGTTGTCACTTCTCTTGGGAACCTGAAAACAGAACTGTCAAGCTCTCAGCATCTAGGGTAGGTGGCCAGTGCTAGAGATTGATCACCTGATCTTAGGGGCTTCCCCCGTGGGGAACTCCAATTAGATTCGGGTATTAAAAAAAGAAGAAAAGAAAATCCCCCAGTGTCAGCATTTATAAAAGGGCACCAGGTCAGGCGCGTCAGAAGCCGGGTGCTCACCTCTTGTGGTTTAGATCTTGAATTATTGTTTCTGTCCCCCTGTTTCTGTGCCACAGGTACTGTCTGATGAGCGTAAAAGGTTGTTTCACTGACTTCCACATCGACTTTGGAGGCACTTCTGTTTGGTACCATGTTTTCCGGGGTGGGAAGGTGAGTTCTGTGAAGTTGCCTCAACTTTCTGTGTATCTGCAGTTATTTGGGGGGTGTGGGGGGCGCTCACTCATCTTTTCCTACCTTTTGACCCCCTCCTTTAGCCAGCCCCTGCCCTGTGGGTACTTCAGGGCCACTGCTTCCTCTGGAACCATCTCCTGGCTCTCGTCCTCCTGGAGGAAAGGGTCATGGTCAGCTCTATCACACCACACCTAATCATTCATTCATACCCTCCAGCTAGTTCAGTCCAGTGTTCTAAGCATTTTAGGTCAGATTCAACCCCAATTTGGCTCCCCAAAACCTTCAACATTCATTTTTCCTGGCTGTCACCTCAGCTTCAGCCCTAGGACCTTTAACCTCTCTAGCTGCCAGCACCACTTACCTCCAAGAACATTTTATACCGGTAACAGATGTCACCCTGAGAAAGGCTGTGGGGTGTGCAGTGAAGGGTGCTCCTGCCCTATTTGCTTTTGAGTGTGTGGCCTTGTGGGGGTGTAGGTGTGTGCCGCCCTGCTTGTCGGGGTCTGCATGCACGTTTGTTTTAACCCAGTGTTTTGAAATCAAGACAGTCCACTTGATTCCAGATGTTTTTCCTTTTTCTCCAAAGTGAGCACAAGCTGGGTTTATTTATTGGGCCATTTTATCTTACAACTTAGGAAATTCCCTCACTCTCCTTCTCCCACCTCCTAGACAGTCCTGTGGCTCAGGAGAAAGAATGTTCCACCCAGTCCAGAAAATATTCCCAGCCTGGTATTTCATCTGGAATGGAGATTCCCTAAAGGTGGGCATAGCCCTCCTTGTGTCCTCAGAGACCCTCTAGGGGTCTTGGGGGCCTAGGGGGATGGATTATTCCCCATCCCCACACCCCCCCACCCCCTGGCAGGTGAGACTGTCTCTTTGTGTCAGGGCTTGGAAGAAATCAAGGAGTTTGGCCTGATCCTCAGCTGACTGCTGCCTCCTTCTCCTCCTAAGATCTTCTGGCTGATTCCTCCAACCCTACACAATTTGGAGCTGTATGAGGAGTGGGTGCTGTCAGGCAAACAGAGTGACATCTTTCTGGGAGACCGTGTGGAACGATGCCAAAGAATTGAACTGAAACAAGGCTACACATTTTTCATCCCTTCCGGTAGGTTCCAGCAGGGCTGGTGATGGGTTCCCTGTAGCCTTAGCCAGGGTTTTAGGCTACGAGGGTTTCTCTGGGGCTATGGGTTTGATGGCTATGGCCATGGGTAGCCCCCAAGGGGAGGAGTCCTCAGCTCCATCTAATTGGCTTCTCCCTGCTGGTGGGTTAGAATTTTCTCTCCCTCAGAGAAAGCCTGGGTTCCTCATTCAGGGGAAGTTTGAGTGCTTCCCCGGGACTTCCTGTGGAGATTTCTGTGAGGTGCTAACAGTGGTCCTCAGGTAATGATGGTGGGTTTACCCTGAGGCAGGCTCTGGGGGAGGGCAATTAGGACTTCCGCTGGAATTCTGACTCTACCACTTACAAGCTGTGATTTCACCTCTTTGTGCCTCAGTGTTCTCATCTGTAAAATGAGATTAAGACTTCCCAGAATAGCCAGGAGGACCAAGTGAGGTAACACTTACTTGTGTATAGTTCTTTGTAGATGCACTAAGGCCTTTTGGCTGGTTACAGACTGAGTCACCAGTGGATGTGGCTTATGAACTAGGACTCAGGAAATTTAGGCTGCATTAATGGAAGCATTTTACCCGGAATGAGGGAGGTGACAGTTCCACTGTATGGAGTGAGGGAGTCAGGCCACATGTAGTCTTGTTGCTCTTGGTCATCGTGCTTTGGAGAGTAAGTCCAGCTGGAGAAAGAGGAATCTGGAAACCACATCAGGCGAGACGAGCTTGAAGCTGGAATTGGATTGTTTTACCCAAGGAAGTAAAGGCATATGGTAATGCAGTCAGCCAGGTGAAGGATTATCTTCAGGAAGAAGAGGTATAGCCAAGTGGTATTGGAAAAACTTGTTCTGTTAGGCAGTGAGCGCCACAGCACTGGATTTATACAAGTAGAAGGTAGCTATGGGTGTGTCAAGGAACTTGCAGAGATTCTACCACTGGGGTGGAAGCTCAGACCAGAGAATAATATATCCTTTGAAGCCACAAAGATCTATTAGATGGAAAAGCTCATCATAACCTGGGTTTCCGAGAGCTGGGCTAAAAGCTGGCCTAGAGTCTAGACACCAAGCACTAGTGTGTGTCATCAGTTGAAGGGGCTGTTGTGGTTGTGGTAGCAGTTCCCACTGGGGAAATTGGGGCTGCACTTCTGTGTTCTTTTAGAAAGTTGAGCAAGGCCAGGTGCAGCAGCTCATGCCTGTAATCCTAGCGCTCTGGAAGGCCAAGGTGGGTGGATTGCTTGAGGAGTTCTAGACCAGCCTGAATAAGAGCAAGACCCCAACTCTATTAAAAATAGAAAAACTAGCCAGGCATTGTGACAGGTGCCTATAGTCCCAGCTACTCAGGCAGCTGAGACAAGGGGAGCTCTTGAGCCCAAGAATTTGAGGTTGCTGTGATCTATGATGACGCTATGACACTCTACCAGGGCAACTAAGATTCTGTCTCAAAAAAAAAAAAAAAAAGAAAGAAAGAAAGAAAGTTGGGCAAAAGGTGGAAGCTTCTCTTAAGGAAATTGGGAATTTGGAGGTGGAAAGGTGGGGTGACTTTGTTACTATGGCCTTAGACCTGCTTGGTTCAGGGAAGGACCCCTGCTTTGGACAGAGGGATTGTGCTTGGTGGTCATCCATCCCTACAGATGTGGAATGGAGAATTCTCAAATGTGCTCAGGGATTAGTGGATGGGCCCTGGTGGAGTCTGTGGAATGCTGCAGTGCACTTGGCCTTGCTGCTGACTGTCTTTATAACCCTGGTCTCTTCCTCTCTCTGTACTTTAGCCATCCCATCTCTATACGGTGGAGGGGTTGAGCTGAACTCCGGACCCTCAGGGTGGGTCCCAACCCCTTCCCCGAGGGTCGGCCTCCTCACCCTGAGGGGACAGGCCCTGGAGTCCCTTTCTCAAGGCATCATGCAGACCTGGATGGAGCCTCATCACTTTGCCCGAACAGAGGGTAGGAGGGGTGTTGATTTTGGTGACTTAAGCAATTTGGAGGTCTTGAGAAGTAGTATCTAAGACCATAAGACCATAGCAGGCATGTGACCCTCTGTTAAAGGTAGGAAGAAGAGATGTGGATTTGAATTGCAGCAAGTAGGAGTCAAGTTAGACCTCAGCAAAGACTTCCAGCCCTAAGGGTCCATGAATGAGATGCTAGCAGCTTTTTTCTGGATTTTTGAAAAGTGGGAAGGGGATAGTTGAACTTTGTCATCTTTCTAGAGGAGGGTGGGGGAGGCAAAATAATCCAGAGGTTCCCAGGCATGGATTTCATGCACCAATAAAATAGAAAAAAGAAAGTTGGGAACTGATACTGAATTATTGGACTTGTAATTTTGTTAAAGATGAGTGTTATTTAAAAAAACAAACAAACAAATAAGGCTTGGCACTGTATCTCAGTGGTTAAGGCACTGGCCACATACACTGGGGCTGATAGGTTTGAACCTGGCCTAGGCCTACTAAACAACAATGACAACTGTAGCAAAAAAAAAAAAAAGAAAGCTGGACATAAGAGTGCTGTGGTGTCATAGCTCACAGCAACTTCAAATTTGTGGGCATAAGCGATTCTCTTGTCTTGGCCTCCCAAGTAGCTGGGACTACAGGCACTACGTTGTAGTTGTCATTGTTTAGCAGGCCTGGACTGGGTTTGAACCCTCCAGCCTTGGTGTATATAGCCAGGGCCCTAACCACTGAGCAAGGGCTCCAAGTGTCAAGGGGACTTCTTCAAGCTCATGTGATTCTTATGGGTTAGTAATATTTTATTTTATTGTATCATATCTATTTTATTTATTTTGTTCTGTTTTATTTTATTATTTTATTTTATCTATTTTATTATTTTGTTTTATTTTATCTATTTTATTATTTTATTTTATTTTACTTTATTTTTTTGAGACAGAGTTTCATTTTGTCACTATTGGTAGAGTGCTGTGGCATAGCTCACAGCAACCTCAAACTACTGGGCTCACGCGATCCTCTTGCCTCCCAAGTAGCTGGGACTAAAGGTGCTGACCCTAACACCCAGCTACTTTTAGAGACAAAATCTTGCAATGTCTCAGGCTGGTCTTGAACCTGTGAGCTCCCACAAATCCACCTGCTGAGGCCTCTCAGAGTGCCAGGATTATAGGCGTGAGCCACTGTGCCTGGCCTACTTTATTTTATTTTATTTATTTTTGAGACAAAGTCTCACTTAGTTGCTCAGGTTAGAGTGCAGTGATATTATCATAGATCACTGCAGCCTCAAATTCCTGGACTTAGTGATTCCCTGCCTCAGCTTCCTGAGTAACTGGGACTACAGGCACGTACCAGCATGCTGGTCATTTTAAATGGCAAAATATAATAATAATTATTTTTTTAGACAGTCTCACTCTGTCATCCTGCGTAGAGTGCTGTGGCATCAGCGTTGCTCACAGCAACCTCACACCCTTGGGCTTGAACAATCCTCTTGCCTTAGCCTCCTGTAGCAAGGACTACAGGGACCCACCAGCACACCTGGCTAGTTTTTCTATTTTTAGTAGAGAAGATGGAGTTTCTCTCTTGCTCAGGCCGGGCTCAAACTCCTGAGCTCAAGTGGTCCACCTACCTTGGCCCCCCTGAGTGCTAGGCCCCCCAAGCCACCACGCTTGGCCAAAATGGCAAAATTTTTTGTGAGATGAAGTTTAAACTTTTTTCTTCTTGTGTCTAAGGATAGAGAGGTTGGTAATGACTGTGCTTTGGGGTGCTTGTTCTTTAGTTCTTATCCCTGTGTAATCCAGGAAAGCTGCCTGGAAGAGGAAGAGTATTAAATGTGACAGAGTAGAATGACCCAGAGCAGCAGTTCTCAACCTGTGGGTTGCAACCCCTTTAGGGGTTGAATAACCATTTCATAGGAGTCACCTAAATACATCCTGCATATCAGATATTTACATTATGATTCATAACAGCAGCAAAATTACAGTTATGAAGTAGCAATAAAGATAATTTTATGGTTGGGGGTCACCACAACATGAGGAACTGTATTAAAGGGTCACGGCATTAGGAAGATTGAGAACCACTGACCCAGAGAAAAGGGCTTGCATCTGTCCTGCTGAGCTAGCTAGCCTGCAGAGGAGTTGAGAGGACATCATCAGGATGAGGAATGTTGAAGCCAGAGCCAGGAGTGTCTGGCGGGCACCAGGCTCCAACCTTATCTTTAGTAGTGAGGAAGGATGGAGATGAAGTCATGCCCAAGTCGTAGGAAGTCCAGACCTTATGTACCTGAATGAGCCATGTGATGTATTTTCCTTCCATCCCAACCTGATGTGCCACCAGCATCCTGACCACATGGTGGCCTCAGCCTCCCCCTCTGTCTTTGTCAGCCCAGATAAACTGCAGTTGACAATCCTGAACAATGAACATTTCACATACATTATTTATCTTCTCTATAAGCATGTGAGGAAAAAATTTAATATCCCTTTACCTTTTTTTTTTAAATAAAGAAAGTACCTCGGCCGGGCGCTGTGGCTCACACCTGTAATCCTGGCACTCTGGGAGGCTGAGGCAGGTGGATTGCCTGAGCTAGACCCTGTCTCTTAAAAAAAAAAAAAAATAGCCGGGCATTGTGGCAAGTGCCTGTTGTCCCAGCTACTTGGGAGGCTGAGGGAAGAGAATTGCTTGAGCCCAGGAGTTTGTGGTCGCTATGAGCTATGATGCCATGGCACTCTACTGGGGACAACAAAGTGAGACTCTTCTCAAAAAGAAGATGGGCGGCACCTGTGGCTCAAAAGGGTAGGGCGCTGGGTTCAAACCCAGTCCCAGCCAAAAAAAGAAAAAGAAGGTACCTGAGGCCCAAAATTTTATAGTTAATAAGTGACGGGGTCAAAGTGAGAACCCAGATGTGCCTAGTTCAAAGCTCACATTCCTAGGTACACATATCTGTAACTCTGTTAGCTTGGGATTCAGGAGACTTAGGATCTGGTCCCCTTTCTTGGCTGAGTGACTTCGGAAGAACTATTTGCTCACTTAACAAACTTCCTTTCCTTTTTTTTTTGCAGTTTTGGCCGGGGCTGGGTTTGAACCTGCCACCTCCGGCATATGGGCCCGGTGCCTTACTCTTTTGCGCCACAGGTGCCACCCAACAAACTTTCTTGAGGGCCCACTTAGTTCCAGGTGGTGTGGGAAAGAGGGGCTGGGTAGGTAAATTAGAGTCCCTGCCTCCTGTTTTTGTGTCCAGTAAAGTGGCAGGCAGGGTTTGGAGCCCAGTATGGGGACCTTATTTGTCACGTATAAGGGTGGGAGTCCCTGGGAAGGACCCTGGAGATCTTTGATCTTTGGGCTGGCCTGAAAGCATTTCCTATCTTTACATTGTAGCAAGAACTACCCAAGAACCAAACTTCATGGTAGCTCCAGGTGATTCCAGGCTCCAGCAAGTCCGAGAGGTAGTAGCTCCTTTACGGTATAACATGATTGGGCCTCAGATGTTTCATCTATGAAGCGGGTCTAGGACGGGGAAGGGGATAGCAGTAAAGCAGGCAGGGTGTGACGCAGAAGGTGGTGCGGCCGTGGGAAGCTGGGCAGCTGTTCAGCTTTACCCAGGTAGCCAAGTGGGAGTGGGGCCCAGCACATGCTCATCTTCCCATTTGGAAAGGAAATAATTCAGGTTGTCAGTGTGAAATTTCACTGTTTTTGTAACGTGGTGTAGAACAACATGACTAGCTTTTGGAACCAGCTGTGAGGTTAAGGAGAGAGGCTATCTTTTTTTTTTTTTTGCAGTTTTTGGCTGGGGGCTGGGTTTGAACCCACCACCTGCAGCATATGGGGCCAGCGCCCTGCTCCTTTGAGCCACAGGTGCCGCCCAAGAGAGGCTATCTTGCTGCGTCTTGGCAGCCGCAGTGCCCAGCCCCAAACCTGCTCTGGCACATTGGTGCTCATGAAGGAAGTCAGGGGCTGGTTGGGTCATGGGTGTCTGTGAGGTGCCCCTGAGTTCTGTGACCTTTGGTTTTATCCCTGCACCCTCTGCAAAGTTGGAGGCAGATGTGGATCAGGAGCCTCTGGGTTCAGGATTATGGCAATACCCTGTCAGTAGGTTTTGTGGGTCATTGGCTTTTCTTCCATGACTGGCTCTGTCCTTTGTCACTTGGCCCAGATAGCCTCTGTTTATTGCCTTCATATTGTCAATGACTCTTGTCTGGAAGCAGGAGACAGATACCAGACTCTCCAGCCCTATTCATTGGGGCATGGATGGGGCTTGTGACCACTGTTATTTCTGCTTCCTAGTTCTTCCTGAGGGACACATGTCAGTAATGAAGCAGATGTGAGCAGGGGAGGGACTGGGAAATGACTAATGTGGGGGGAGGCTGACCCCTGTGAGGCCCTAGCTTAGGAAGAAGCTTCTAGATCCCTCAACTGTCTGGGCATATAGATTACTTGTCCCCTCCTATCTCCCCTTCACTTGCAATAGCAACAACTCTTTTTGTTTTTCTCTTTGCTCCCACATCAAGGTAACAGCTGTAAGTCAGGTGTGTGCCTATCTCCCTGCTAGAACAGGGGCGTTCAATGGGCTGAGAAATAAGGATTTACATGGGCATCATCTTTTCCCAAGCCCTCACAATAGATTGAGACCACTGCAGGTATCAGTGGCAGTTGTTTGTATCTCAGAATACCTGTTCATCAGTTCCCCACAAAGGAGGGGATGGTCTCCCCCATTTCTTACTGTCCCCGGGAGAGGGGACAGTCCTGAAGCCTGTCCCTTGAACTCAGTGTTCCCAGGTTCCAGTCTTAGGAAGTGTTGCTTAAATAATACTGATGGTTAACAGCAGTAAACATAGGGCAGGTCAGTGAGGCATCTAGGTGGGGGGCTAAAGCATATGTGGAGATGGAGTCTTCTTATGGTAGCAGCCATGCTCTTTCTGTGCAGAGGGTACAGGTGGTTGAAGAGGGACTCTGGGGTCTTGGTAGTTGCCAGGACAACAGCACGCCTGGCCAACAGATTGGCCACCTCTGAGACATATCGGAGGCCTGGGGAGTTAAGCACAGAGTGAGGTTCCATAAGCAAAACCATTGTTCTTGAGTTGGGTGGCACTGGGCTCTTGGTGACAAGCTTTCCCTTGTTCTCTCCTGAGAACTGCCAGCTCTGTTCCATGCACTGTCCTTGACATGGAGGACCAGCCACTGAGCGTCTGGCATAGGTACCAGCAGTGGCTTTGCAGTCTTTGTGTTGCTCTCCCAGGTGGCAGCCTTGCCCCCAGCAGTGGTGGCCACCATGACTCAGGGCTAGCATGTTTCAGCTCACTAGGAGAAAAGGCCAGAACCACACTGTAATTTAACTCAGAGTGAAAGAATTAAGTGCAGGGCGCCAGGTGCCGTGGTTCACACCTGTAATCCTAGCACTCTGGGCCAAGGTGGGTGGATTGCCGGGGCTCAAGAGTTCAAGACCAGCCTGAGCAAGAGCGAGACCCTGTCTTTAAAACTAGCCGGGGATATGGCAGTTGTCTGTAGTCCCAGCTCCTTGGGAGGCCTGAGTTAAGAGGATCACTCAAGCTCAAGAGTTTGAGGTTTCTGTGAGCTACGACGCCATGACATTCTACCACTGGCAACAAAGTGAGACTCTGACTCAAAAAAAGAAAAAAAAAAAAAAAGAAACAAAGAATTAAATGTAGGGCTAGAAAGAGAGGACAGCGGCCTCAGGGCCAGCCTCCACTAGGCTCAGCTCCTGGGGCGCAATGCCTTGCATCTGCTTACCCCTGCCCTGTGGCTTTCGCTGTCTCTCTGCCTCTGTCTGCCCTTGTCTTTGCTTCCTTATTTCTCTCTGCATTTCTCTTTTTTGGTGCCCCTACATGTTTCTGTGCCTGTCCCCTGGGATGCACAGGCCTGCGCTAAGCCTTTAATGCAGTGTAGTGGCTAAAAACAGAGCTGCTGTCACTTGCCAGCTGTGACTTCATTTGGCAAGTGGCTTACCTCCCTTCACCCGCAGTTTCACTATCTGTAAATTGGGGTTGATTATAATGCTGCCTGTCCCTTAGTTCTGCGCTGTGTGGTCTGGCAGGTGACCACCGAGTTGGGTCTCCCAGCCTTTACAGAGTGAGTTGAGGCTGACTTCCTGGGCTTGAAATTCTGATGAGTGACTTCATTTTCCTGTGCCTCAGTTTCCTCATCCTATAAATTGGGATTGCCTCTCCATAGCTGACCACCCACTACACTGACCACCTCCATAAGTTGACCTAACTTTCATAGATTTGACATTTACCACATAAGTACATATCAGTACAGTAGGCCTAGTTCCTTATGTTGACCACTTCTGTATGTTGGCCAGTTTGTTACTGTCCCTTGAGTGGTCAACTTACAGAGGTAGTTGTAGTATATTCTGCTTTTAGGGCTTTTGTAGAGAATTCATGAGTTGAGGCCTAGAAAGTCCTGAGACTCTTATTCCTGGCTCTGGATGGGGAACCTGGGTGTGGGGGGTGCAGGTGTTGTGTGGCCAAAAAGACCACCTAGAAATGGGCCTGAGGACAAGAAGGTGGACTGGGGCAGAGGAGTGTCTGGGTCCTGTAGCTCTTAACAAGATGTTACTCCTTTGTTGTGAGTCTGAGCCACCCTTTGTGATCTCTCCTGAGACTGGCATGTGCTAGGATGACAGGAAAATGTTCAGGACAGGTGTGCAGGCTGGGGGTAGGGCTCTACCTCCCTGGCCCACATGCAGGTAGAGTCAAGGACCTGCCTGGTCCAGGGAGGAAACGTTGGTCATTAAGGTCCTCAAGAGGTAGGAGCTGATCTGCAGCTTCCCACTCCCTGACTCAGTTAGCCACTGGCCACTCCACTCAGAGCTGTCAGTCTGAGTCCTCTCAGTTGGCCAAGAGCCTTGACTTTCTGTACCAGATGTCAAGGCCTCCTGTGCCCTCCTGCGTGCTGGTGACCCTCCCTATAGCCTTGTGAGTGAGGGACCCTGAGGGGGCCAGCTGCTCATCCTGCCTTTGGCCTCCCACCCCAGGTTGGATCCACGCAGTCTACACCCCTGTGGACTCTCTGGTGTTCGGCGGAAACATCCTGCACAGCTTTAACGTGCCCATGCAGCTGCGCATCTATGAGATCGAAGACAGGACACGGGTAAGGAGGCTTCCCTCTCCTCATGGACGTATCTGGACCTGAGCTCCGCCTGGTGCTTGGGTGTACGCAGTAGGTCACTCTGGAGCCCTCTGCAGGTCTCCCTTCCTGCCTCAGGCCCATGGGGATGCCTGCAAGAGCCCGACCAGAGGCCATGGAGTTTCTGTTTGCCTCCTGGCCAGTGGCAGCTAAAACCCCTTGTTGAAAAGGAAGTATCTCTTCAGAAAGTACCATGAGCAATCAGGAACTCTGCCTCCCCCTCCTCCTACTTCTCACACGTGGAAATGTGCGTGAGGGATTGGGGGAATCTTGTTGCCATTGTTTGGAAATTGAATGTGCACCTTGGATAGAGGGCCTGGCATGGTGTAAGGTCAAGTCTTGGCCCTACCGTCTCCTGGAGACCCCAGTTCTGACTAGGGAGATCCCTGAGAATGCTGGTGTCTGTGAACCCCAGGTCCTGTCTCTGTGCCATTCTCAGGGCCTTTGGGGTGAGTATACCTGGCTCCCTGGGCTCAAGGCTTTCTTCTGCCCTTGGCATTGATAGTAACGGGTTAGAAACTGAGTTTTCCCCACCAAATGTTCCCGGACCCAGGACTGATGCTCAGACACCTGACATGTACCCTCCACTTCAAAAGTTTCCCCTGAAAAGCAGCAGCAGCGTGGAGCTTGTCCCCTCTTTCCCATGTGGGGACTTGACCAGGCATCTCCAGGCCTGGAACTGGGAGACATAGGAGGAGGCCTAGGATAAAAATGGCCCATTTCTTCTTCTTCTTCCTCTTTATTTATTTACATTGCAATTCAAATATTTACTTTTTTTTTCAAAACTAAGATATAATTCATATAACATAAAGTTCATCATTTAAAGTGCATGATTTAGTGGGTTTTAATTCCAGAACATTTTCATCACCCCCAAAAGAAACCCTGCACCCATGAGTAGTCACTCCCTCTTTGCCTTTCCCCTCCTCCCCGGGAACTTCTAATCTACTTTCTGTCTCTCTGGATTTGCCTATTCTAGAGATATGCTCTAATGCACTCGTATGACATGTGGCCTCTTGTGACTGGCTTCTTTCATTTAGCATGTTTTCAAGATTCATCCACATTGTAACACACATCAGTATGTCATTCCTTTTTATGACTGAGTAATATTCCATTGTATGCATAGACCACACCGTTTCTTCTTGGGCTTTGTGTTGGAGATGGCATTTTGCCCCAGCAAGGTATTGCTGCTTCTGGACTCCAAGGAAATGTCTTGCATAGGCAGCTGCTCTGCCCAGAGTCCCTGACTTTACTGATCTTGTTTTCAGGCCTTGGTTTGTGTGGAATCATAGATATGAGTAAAAGTCTTAGCTATGACATGTATATCTGAACCTCTTCACAGTCCTGGTGTTGTGGGACCTTGTCTGAAGGCTTCCTGGAGGCGAAGTCAGTGGCATGGTGCTGCAAGGGTGTGTGCACATTTTCACATCGGCACGTTTGTTGCCTGGGATGCCTGGATTTGCAGAGACCTGGGTCTGGACTAGGGTCCCATGTGAGGCCCTCATTTCATGGATTTTCTTCCTTTACTTCTCAGTTGCCACCTTTCCTGTCACACCTGAGGAAGGCCAGCCCTGGGTCTGGTCTGGAAGATGGTATCCCAGGATATTCAGGAGTAAGGCACTGTTTGGGCACAAGTGGTCATATTACACAGTCTGGGTCAAGTGCTGACTGGGGCTCTGGCCAACTGTTCTTTGGCTGGCCCTAAAGAACAGGCGGTTTGTGCATGAGCAGACTAGCAGGTATGGCACAGAAAAGGAGAAATCTAGAAGGGGAAGCCAGGCCCAGGACTTTCCAGGCAATTCCTGAAAGCCACAGTCAGGCTGGTATTTCTAAAGTCTTTGGCAACTTGCTGGACAGCCGTCTCCTCCCCCTGGGAATCTGATTGTAGAACTCAGTGGATTCACGGGTCCCCTTATTCTCTTAGGAACCCAGCTCCCCTCCCCCACCTACAGCAGAGGAGGGAGGCAGGGTAATGGAGCAGACCCCAGAGTGACCCACTGAGCTTGTGTTGAATATTGCATTCAAGTGGATTATGGCAGCGTCCCCTCTCCCAGGGCCCACTGTCCCTATCTTCTGAGTGGGGACCCCATCTGGTTTCGCTGAAGCAGGCTGACAGCTGGGGGTTGGCAGGCTAGAACCAGTGGCAGGCTGTTTAATCTGCTTTGATTTCTGGTCTTTGGAGAGGGGCTTGGCTACAAGGCCCAATTGTTTATGTCTTAGGAGCCAAGGCAGACAAAAGGCGCTGGGGAGAGAGTGCTAGAAGCCAGATAAAATGCCAGGGCTCCTTGTCAGCTCACTACAGCTTAATTCTTTACATCCCTTAGAGCTTTCTTAAGAAGGTTATGGCCATTTAAAAATAGTTTTGTAAAAGTCCTAAAACATGGCTTTGCTTAGAAACCAAGTGTAGGGGGTGGGACAGAAGAAACTGTCAGTTTTCAAGCTCCATGGTGTGGGTTTTTCTTGGAGAAAGAATTTGCTTCTGTGGCCCAAGGTAGAGGACCCTCCCATCCAGATTAGAGAACTTCAGGGTTCCCCTGAGTTTAGAAAGCTTATGTCTAACTCATCTAATTTTTCTGGGCTGGATGATAGGTGACCTCATCTTGCAGTGTCATTGCCCATAAGGCGACCAGAACACATGCAGGAGTTTGGGGACTGACTGGTGGGTTTCCCTTTCCCCTCCTTGTAGATGAACTCTCCCTTTTCTTCCCATTCCGAAGATATGAAGAGTGATGCAAGAACCACACCAAAGTGGATATGTGGCCTGTTTGCTCTTTTAATATAATGTTTCAACAATCACGATATACTTTTAACTTCAGTGAGGTTGATCAGCGATAGGGATGGTCCAAATGATCATTCATTAAACTGCCGTCTCTCATATTTATCTTTTTTTCCCCCAATGGCTCTAGTGAAAGCAGCCTTCCCGGCAAAGGTAATGCCAGCACACCCTATTCCCTCCTAATGAGTGAATCTATTTGGAAATCGCAAATAATTTACCCTACTTCTCCCCTTCCCCACCATTGGATTTTTCCCCCCCATTGATTTTTTTTTTTCCAGGAGAAAAACAAATTTTAGGACACTTCCACCCACCCTCACATTTTACTTTTTCAAGTCCTTGAGATTTTGGAGTTCTAGATGCACCAAGAAACCTTCTGTTCTCCTCTTCTATGGTCACTCAGCTCTGAGATAACTTGGGCCTCTGAGGCAGGGCTCAGGCCAGGTGCCACACAAATGGGCCTTTGGAACTCAAAGTGAACCACTGAGATCCTGACAGACTGATGACCCTCCAGGCTGGGAGCATTGCATGCTTTCTGACTGCCTTGCCTTTTGTTTTGGACTGACAGTGGTTAACAACTCAATTTGGTGAGGCTCCGAATTTGTCAACAAATAATGTTGAGCAATCGTGTGTTTAATGTTCCCAGGCATGTGGCTGAAACCTTTTGAAGGCGAAGGGTGGAAGGCGACAACCTGTTTGTAAGTCAATTCTTTGCAAATTTTGTTTCCTGCAGTCCTCTCTTGGAAAAAAAAATAAAAATATTAAAACATTTTGAACTCCTTCATCAGCATTTGTTTTCACCCAGCTGGTTTCTCTTGGGTTCAGCAACAAAGGAGGAGAACTTATTTACCTCTCCTGAAATATAGCCCCCTCATTTTTTTCCCCTAATCCAGAAAGATTAAAAGATAGTCATTGTGTCCATCAATGGCAGGGTGGCTTGGATGGTGTCCGAAAATTTGAAAAGCCAAAACCAACTTCAGAGTTTTACTAATCTCAAGACAAATCAGGAGATGGAAGTGAGCGTCTGTCTGTCCTCAACCTACTTTTTAGGTATTGGCAATTTGTCTCAAAATTATTTGGCCCTTGTTTTGGAATAGGGGTGGTGGTGAGACCTCCCCCCAAAAAAAACCCTTCTTTACGGGAAGTCAAGGTCTGCTTCATGGTGAAGAGTCCCTCTTTTTTAAATTTCAGAGGGCACTGATTCAGTAACTATGAAAAAAGATTATTACTATCCCAGCAGTAAAACTGTGGTTCTCAGGAAAGTAGCTGGAGCCAAGGAAACCGCTAGATTATGATCCCAACTCCATGCAT